AAAATTGGACAATAACTCTCAGTTCTGAATTTATTTTCTTTGAGAAAAGTTCATAGTATTCAGAAAATGATCTTTTACATCATTTTGAGATTAATAAATAGAGATTAGTAAGTAGAGCTATTTTACCGCATACATACTGAATGTGTTGGACTAGGACAGGGATCGGCAACCCGCGGCTCTGGAGCCGCATGTAGCTCTTTCATCCCTCTGCTGCGGCTCCCTGTCACTAGTCGGCTCCACAATTGATAGGGCTTTCAGTTAGGACAGGTAGAGGAAAAAGGACACTATGCTAGAAGGAGACTCTATGGTGGGATAACCGGACTTCCGCTCGGCTCTAGAATTGAATGGGGGCCTTTTGGTTAGGACCTTTGTGGGTCTTCGAGTGTTTAAGGTTGCCAACCCCTGGACTAGGACATCCAAGTTCCTAGCCTTGGAACCTCATTAGGCCAATTGTGACCTCTCAAGTCTACTTACTTCAAATGGATGTTGAGATAAAGTGAAGGAAGATCCCAATGTAAGCTGTCTTGAGTTACCGGAAAAAGTGAGGATATAAATATAAATAAATATAACAATTTTCCTCCTCCGTGATTGGAGGGATTCATTCTGAGGACCATGCTCATAGTTCACTTTCCATTTCAACATCAGCTCCCCAAATTCACCTACCTGGAAACTAGGAGCCGACATTCTGGAGTATTATGAGTGCTACCAATCAACAGGAATTACGTAACCATTGTATCCTTTTCAGCAAGTATCTTGAATTTTACATGTGAATGTGGCTATAGGTATATGTCTTTTTGTTTATCACATATAAACACTGGATTTTAAAGCAGGGGATCTCTGTTGTGCAAGGGGCAAATTTAACAGAAACTGTTCCTTCAGGCATCTTGGCTGAGCACCTGAATAGTGTTTTCTGCTATTTATATCTCAGCGTCTGTTCAACTCTGCAGTGTTTCTTTCAGCATTATGTAACTTTAAGGGAACATTGTGAGTGTTTTCTATACTAAACAAACTGATTGAAGAGATATCTTCTAGCTGGAATGCAAACAGGGGTGGGAGTTTTGCCGTTTTTGTACAAGCCCTTACACGTGCATAACTTGATAGCTAGAAATTTTTCACACCTAAAGATAACTGGTATATGCCTTTAAAATGTTTATATACAATTTGATCTGTTTTTCTACATAAGGAGGTGTCCCTGTTTACACTTTTAGAGAAGGCAGCAAAATTATCTTCAATATACCCATGTTCAATGCAGTATGTTCCTGAATTCTAATTGGAACGATGGGAATGTTTCCTTTTTCAGTTTTGGGTGAGTTTTCCAGAAATCCCTGATTGTTGTGGCAAACACAACTGGGCCTTGACAGTTTGATCTGGCCAGCTTCTATGTAAGTTCTTTTATTTCTAAGAGTCTGGCCTTGTTAAATTTTATTCATGCATAAGGTGTGAGAACATGAACCACAGATTTGGTCTTCTGCCTCCTGCCTTCCTGGTCACAAAGCAGAACAATCTGAAAGGGGACTGCAGATGGTGTTCTTCTCAGTATTACTACCAATTTACCCATAGGTTTATCAGTTACTGTAATGATTGTAAGAATCTTCACCTGAATGCATTTGTGATCATCCTTCAGTTTATTGCTCAACTAGCTGATATACAATGGATATAAGGTTGGCTCATTTCATGGAAAGAGTTTAAAAATGTCTAAACAGGCTTAAGACCCTTTACTTTCTTATTCAGAATGAATTAATATTCATAGGGCCACTTAGAAAACATGAAACAAAATCTTACAAATTTAATAGCCTGATTTAAAAGTCTGATCTTTTTAAATATTTAGTCGGTATCAAAAAATATAGTAACATACAGTAGTGGCCAAACTTGTGGAAACCTTTTGGGAAAAATGTATTTTCTTAAACTAGCTAATAACACCACTTTTTTTTTTAATAGTACCATAAAATTATATATCAATGGAAAGATAATTTAATCAAGAATGTAATGCAATAACTTTTATGAAGGATTTGCTATTAGACTAGCATTTACAGTATAAAGAAGAAAAATGAAACATGTAGGAAAAAAAACGAGATATACAAAAATTATCACCATGTCAGTTAATACTTAGTTGGGTAACCTTTAGCATGAATTACGGCCTTACAACGTCTTTCCATGAAGTGAACCAGGTCTTTTAGCTCTGCAGCTGTTATAATGTGAAACCAAGATTGAATGATTGCTTCTATTAACTAGGTTATATTGCTGGGTCACTTCTGACTAACAAGTTTCTTTAGTCGGCTCCATAGATTTTCAATTGGGTTAAGATCTGGGCTATTCCCAGGCCATTCCAGCAGTGGAATATGATTATTTTGAAATTCCAAAAAAAAGTGGTGTTATTAGCCATCAAACCTCAAAAATACACTTTTCCCAAAAGTTTTCCACAATTTTGGCTACTACTGTAGACACCTGGAGAGTCATCCTCAGAATAAGGCTTGACGGGCTCCACTTCCCAGAAGAGGGGGAAGCACCTGTAATAATCAACTTAGTGCATCATGAAGAGTAATGCAAGTAGCTAATTTTGGACTCTGAACCTGATTGTTAATGTAAGAATCTTAATGAGTGGCATCTTTAGATCAGTGTTTCTCAACCTTGGCAAGTTTAAGATGCAGGGAATTCTCCATCTTTAGATTGCTTTAGATGATGACTAGACATTACTAGCAAACATCAAATAATTTTGAGAGAGGAGCAGTTTGTATTACACATTTTAAACACAACTGAGAATATATCTTGTTCATTATGCCACACAAGTTTTGTTTTAGGCTCCTGTCCCGGTAGCACCATCGATTATGAATATACCTAAATTCATGATAAAGCACAACACAAGAATTATACTGCCTGAACTTTTAAGATCAGATAAAGAGTATGGAGGAACTTTAAAAGTGTCGTGCTCTTGTGCAATTTAAGAAAATCCCTGATGTAAGCATTTCCCAGCATTTTGGCCCATGAATGATGGTTGCCTCTGTTTAATATGCAATTATGTACATGCTATGTTGAAAAGTCTTCTGGGGATGGCTTTTCTCTTTTAAAATTAAAACCAGACTTCAGAAGATTGGCAGTGTTAGACTTTTACCTAACATGGTTTGTTTATATGTCAGTAGGGATTTCTGGTAGTGTTTCATTAAAGAATGATACTTAAAAAAAAAAAAAAAAGACTGTCCTGATATTCAGAAGCATGTTCCATAATGTACCTCTCCTACAGGTTTCACAACCTGAGGCCTCACCCTTGTCCAAATTGATTCACTCTTGTAGAACTAATAGGTGAGACTTGTTATAAAATATGCTAGATAAGATTACACAGCGCTTTAGCGATGGTGTTACTCTGCTTAATTGAAATGTTGCAAGAAATATTGTAAATGCTTGTGTGGTTTTCTGTTTCACTAGTCTGAACTTTGGAAAGTGATGCCATGGAAGGTATGTATGTACATCGGTGTTCCTGGAAGGCATACATCTGTACATCAGATGAGCATTGGCTCAGGCAAACAAACACATCCGTATGGATGGAAAAATCTTTTCCTTGCAATTAAGCTCAAGGGAAATTATAAATGTGAAAACTTCACTTTTCATGATCGTACTACAGGGAGGAAGAGCAGTGTTGCTCTTATTTTGATTTAAGTGTATCGTAAGACACGAAGAAGAAGGAGGGTTGATGTCATCTCTTTGCAGAATTTTGATTGTCTAGTACAGGTAGTCCTCAACCTACGACCACAGTTGAGCCCAAAATTTATGCTGCTAAATGAGAAATTTGTTAAGTGAGTTGTGCCCCATTTTATGACTTTTCTTGCCACAGTTATTAAGTGAATCACTGCAGTTGTTAAATTAGTAACATGGTTGTTAAGTGAATCTGGCTTCTCCATTAACTTTGCTTCTCAGAAGGTCACGAAAGGGGATCACATGACCCCGGGACATTGCAACCGTCATAAAGGTGAGTCAATTGTCAAGCATCTGAATGTAAATCATATAACCATGGGGATGCTGTGATGCAGGGGTGGGTTCTAAAATTTTTTACTACCGGTTCTGTGGGTGTGGCTTATTTTGTGGGTGTGGCTTGATGGTCATGTGACAATTGTTTAGGATTTAGCAGAGGTACTGGTCTACCAGGCTTTTAACTGCTTGCAGAGCTGTACTGATCTACCCATTTATTTTTTCAGGCACTGATCTACTCATGTATTTTTGCAGGCACTGATCTACCCATTTATTTTTGCAGGCACTGATCTACTCATGTATTTTTGCAGGCACTGGTCTACTCATTTGTTTTCTTTTAACACTGATCAGCTGTAGGGCAGCCCTTTGAAGCCCCACAGCAAGAGTTTAAACAGGTTTTTTCCCCTCTAGCCATCAGCTGGGACTCAGGAAGCAGCAATAGATTGGGGGTGGGACCAAATAAAAGGTAAGAATAACGTGGGGGGTGGGGGGTGGCGGAGGGGCAGAACCGGTTCGGTTCTCATATCGTCACCGCTACCGGCTCGACGGAACCGGACGGAACCAGGAGGAACCCACCACTGCTGTGATGGTCATAAGTATGAAAAATGGTCATAAGTCACTTTTTCAGTCCTGTTGTAACTTCAAATGCTCACTAAGCAAACTGTTGTAAGTCAACGATTACTTGTACTTGGAATGTCAGATTCAAAGTTCTTTCTCCTCATATTGGGACACTTTCAGCTTCTTGTTTAAAACTGTTATGAGGAATATTTTTAAATTCACATACAGTCCTTGATTTATTCATTTAGTGACTGTTCAGAGTTACAACAGCACTGAAAAAAGTGACTTATGAACGATCCTCACACTTAAAACCATCGCACAGTCCCCTCAGTCACAAGATCAAAATTTGGGTGCTTGGCCACCAGCATGTATTTATGACTTTTGTAATGTCCCGGGATTGTGTCATCACCCTTTGTGACTTTCTCAGCTAGCTTCTGACAAGCAAAGTCAAAACCAAAGGGAAAACCAGATTCACTTAGTGACTGTTGATTCATTTACAGTCGCAGTGATTCTCTTAACAGCTATGGCAATGGGATGGATCTCAGTTAACAACCCTCTTGCTTAGTAACAAAACGTCTGGTCCAGTGGTGAGTTTCGAAATTTTTTACTACCGGTTCTGTGGGTATGGCTTGGTGGGCGTGGCAGGGGAAGGATACTGTAAAATCTCCATTCCTTCCCCACTCCAGGGGAAGGATACTGCAAAATCCCCATTTCCTCCTGATCAGCTGGGACTTGGGAGGCAGAGAATAGATGGGGGTGGGGCCAGTCAGAATTTTTACTACCAGTCTCTGAACTACTCAAAATTTCCACTACCAGTTCTCCAGAACTGGTTAGAACCTGCTGAAACCCACCTCTGGTCTGGTCCCAAGTGGAGAACTACACGTTCGCTATAAAAATAAAACTAAATGTCTATCATAAAGCTGATCAAAACAAAACAAAAAGATTACAAGTATCTTTTATAATGTAACAATAGGCACTTGCGCTCACTTCAGAGAGAGAAGGTTCTAACAGAACCTTAACACTGTAGTATTTAGGGTTAGGGTTAGGGTTAGGGTTAGGATTAGGTAGTGGCAATGTCAAATTTCCTTACAATAGCTTTAATAAGGCCTTATCTCCAAAGTCAGCAGTTGATGGGTCTTCTTACATCTGAAGAGCAAAAAGGCAGATGACCTCTAGATGGTTATCCAGAGTTTCTCTTCTTATGATTGTCCCGAGTCTGGTTCTAGTAGATTTACCTTCCACACACACATACAATACCAATGTTACTTGGCTGGTGATATTAATATGGACTAAATGGTTGATATAAGCTTAGTTGTGATTATCAGAACAATTAATTCTTACAAGTATAGGTTTTTTAAATGTTTTCCTAATATTAGTACTTAGAAACTTATTAATTTCATTGGTGATAAACTGTAGAATGGTTTTGACAACTGGCACTAGAGTTCATTGCAGAAGCAGAGAACAAGAAGTGGTGAAACACCCTTCTCTATTTACTAAGTTCTCTGTATCAAAGTGGCAAGAATACCTATCCATGTACTTTCATATGTTTGAAAAGTAAGCATGTGAACTGTAAAGTGGAGAAAAATATTTACCTTTTTTTGAAAAGTTACACATTTAACTATATTTAAAACTCATTTTAAAAGAATGTTAACTTGTAAACTGTTCTAAACATGTGTATAAATATCTCATACTCAATTAGTAAAATTATTTACAAAGTATTTGTGAACATATGCCCAGAGTATATTAAAGTATATTAGTATATTAAAGTGAAATTTTTTTAAAAAAAAGGCCAGGACAACATTAAGCCCCTCAAAATGTATAAAGAAGTCCATTCTGCTTCAGTTAATAAATTGTGGTAGTTTTAGACCATAAAAAGGCAAAGAGAAATATGCAGCCAGATCTTCCTGTATAAGGAATTTTGATTGTGTTAGAGCTACAATTGAAAAATCCATATACTGTATTTCATAGAAGTTAACTTTCCTGTAGGATAGAAGCTGGATTAGAAGCCTGCCAAGAGAACATTCATTTCAGGACAGCTTTCGTCAACCTGGTGCCCACTAAAAATGGATGAAATTTCCAAGAAGCTCTATATCCAATTTCAATAGTAATCAGAAATGAGCCCAATACATCAAGCTACATATGACGGGGGAAATAAACAAAATATGCCCAACCCAAAAAGAGCTAGTAGACACTGCAGATATTTCTAATACATGTTTCAGTCCATAACTTATCCAGTAGACCAGTGTTTCTCAACCTCAACAACTTTAAGATGTGTGTGTGGACCAACTCTCCAAATTCCCTAGAAAGCATGGTGGCTGGGGAATTCTGGAAACTGAAGTCCACATATCTTAAAGTTGTTGAGGTTGAGAGGCACTGCAATAGTCCGTCTGCAATCCACAGCTGATGGTACAGGAGAGAAGTGACTGTTAAGGCTTTCAGACTAAGCACAGAAGCAGCAACTAATCTGGGAAGATCAATGCAGAGCTCCCCATGCTAAGAACAGGATAATGATGGGGATAATGCAGCTTTGGATCTATCTGTGTTGATATTGATAGTAGCTCAGACAACGTACATATACACACACCAAGGATTATGAGTAAGATCTGGCCAACTCACCACAAAAGCTGAACTCTAGAAAAACAGTATGCCAGTCACATAAATCTACACTAGACGCCCCCCCCCCCCAAAAAAAATATGTCTGGGTGTAAAAATGCTGAGCAAATATGTGTCCTATAAAATATTTTCCCTTGGAGAACAATCAGCTGTCATGATTACTGTCAATATTTGTGAAATATTTTAGCCAGATCACTTTATTGTTTGCTAAGAGCATGCATAATAAACCAATAATTCTACATCGTAAAATCCAGTGATCTGTGACTATGTCCGCATTTACATTACTTTTTCATATTTCTGTTGTTTTTATTAAGAGATACTGCCAGTTTAAATGCCAGTGAGATAAGAAGCAATATTTGTTATTGCTATATCAAGACTATTGGGAAGGGGGGAGGATGTCACAGCCTATACATTGGACTTCAGAAGGGGAGGGGGACTAAGCAGGAACTCTCCCCATAAGTCATGTGGTACTCAGTCCACTTCAACAAAACAGACACAGACTTCAGAGGATAATTAGAACTGCAGAAAAAACAATTACTACCAACCTGCCTTCCATTGAGGACCTGTATACTGCATGAGTCAAAAAGAGGGCTGTGAAAATATTTACAGACCCCTCACATCCTGGACATAAATTGTTTCAACTCCTGCCCTCAAAACGATGCTATAGAGCACTGCACACCAAAACAACTAGACCCAAGAAGTTTTTCCCCAAACGCCATCACTCTGCTAAACAAATAATTCCCTCAACGCTTTCAAACTATTCACTAAGTCTGCATTACTATTACTATTAATCTTCTCATCGTTCCTATCACCCATCTCCTCCCACTTATGACTGTATGACTGTAACTTGTTGCTGTATCCTTACAAGTTATATTGATTGTTTCCTAGTATGATTCGATTTATTTATTTATTTATTTATTTATTTATTTATTTATTTATTTATTTATCAGATTTTTATACCGCCCTTCTCCCAAAGGGACTCAGGGCGGTGTACAGCCAAGATAAAAATCAGTAATATAAAAGTTAAAAACAATTTAAAATTATTAGATAGTTTGGCCAATCATCTAAAACACAATAACCCATTAAAATAATATTTTAGGCCAGCCCTGCTTGATGGAATAATAGCGTTTTAAGGGTGCGGCGGAAGGTACAGAGGTCGGAAATCCGACGAATCTCCGGGGGCAGCTCGTTCCAGAGGGCAGGTGCTCCCACAGAGAAGGCTCTCCCCCTGGGGGTCACCAGTCGACACTGTCTAACCGACGGCACCCTGAGGAGACCCTCTCTGTGGGAGCGTACTGGTCGGTGGGAGGCTATCGGAGGCAGAAGGCAGTCTCGTATATATCCAGTCCTATGCCATGGAGCGCTTTAAAGGTGGCGACCAACACCTTGAATCACACCCGGAAGAGGTGTGTGCTTATTTGTACCCTATGATTATCATTAAGTGTTGTACCTTATGATTTTTGACAAATGTATCTTTTCTTTACTGTATGTAAAGTATGTACTTCTACACTGAGCATATGCACCAAAGACAAATTCCTTGTGTGTCCAATCCCACTTGGCCAATAAAGAATTCTGTTCTGTTCTGTTCTGTTCTGTTCTGTTCTATTCTATTCTATTCTATTCTATTCTATTCTATTCTATTCTATTCTATTCTATTCTATTCTATCCTATCCTATCCTATCCTATCCTATCCTATCCTATCCTATCCTATCCTATTCAATGTTCCACTGTCTGGCTGTGCTGCCAAACTGTACCTGCTCTATCCCTGTTAGAACTGTCAACTAAGCAATCTCCCACCTCCTGTAAGCCCACCATCCTCTGACAATGGAGGAAGGAATAGCCAAGGACAATGGAGTGGTAGTTGCAGCAACTGCCCTCAGCTTTGGCAGCTGTTGCTAAATAAGCAGAGGGGTCATGCTGTGTCTGGTGGAGTGTGTTGAAGTCCTGATTAAGGAAAATCTCTCTCCTAATGTTTTGCGCAGGACGTATTTTGGAAGCTAGGGCTAACTCTACCTGGGCTGCAGTGGTGGGTTCCTCCCGGTTCGGCCCGGTTCTCCCGAGCTGGTAGCGGTGACGATATGACATCACCGAACCAGTTCTGCCCCCCTGCCACCCCCACCCCCTGTGCCCCACCCACCCACCCCCCGCATTATTCTTACCTTTTATTTGGCCCTACCCCCAATCTATTGCTGCCTCCTGAGTTCCAGCTGATGGCTAGAGGGAAAAAAACTGTTTAAACTCTTGCGCAGGGCTTCAAAGGGCTGCCCTACAGCTGATCAGTGTTAAAAGAAAACAAATGAGTAGACCAGTGCCTGCAAAAATACATGAGTAGATCAGTGCCTGCAAAAATAAATGGGTAGAACAGTGCCTGCAAAAATACATGAGTAGATCAGTGCCTGCAAAAATAAATGGGTAGACCAGTGCCTGCAAAAAATAAATGGGTAGATCGGTACAGCTCTGCAAGCAGTTAAAAGCCTGGTAGACCAGTACCTGTGCTAAATCCTAAATAATTGTCACATGACCATCAAGCCACACCCACAAAATAAGCCATGACCATGGAACCGGTAGTAAAAAATTTAGAACCCACCCCTGCTGGGCTGCATTCTGGATTGGCAACAAAAAGATCTAGAAATCTCTCGTCCCAGAAGTTGGCAGCCCAGATCTATAGCTGGCCCTTATAAAAATTCCCCAAACTCTAACTATAAAACAGTGGGAGCAAAGAGAGAATTTTGTAGATGTGAGATAATGTGGCTTCTATATGTGTAGCTGGGGCTATATCAGTGGAACCGGGAACAACCAGGTTGCTCCTGGTTCGGTCCGGTTCTATAGAACCGGAAATAAAACTGGCTCTGCCCACCTGCCACGACATCATAATGTGCAACTGCGCATGTGCAGAAGCTTCTGTGCATGTGCAGAAGCTTCTGTGCATGTGCGGAAGCACATGCGCGCGCTCCCGCTGTGAACCGGTAGTAAAAGTAAGTAGAATCAACCCCTGGGCTATATGTGAAGGTAAAGAAAATAAACACAGAAGCTGTCTAGGATTTCCTTAGAGTTTCCCCCAAACGGTGGGATGGAAAATGCCTTGCTTACTTTTAGTTCTCTAACGATAAGCCCTCACCTTGCTGCATTTATCTAATCCTCAGACCACAGTGGTGGCCTCCTAATTTCATGCTTATTTGATCTGATATTAAAATGTTTCCTGTCTTCTTCTTGCTATGTGTCACAATGTCTGGAGCTTCAGTGATGATGTTGTTGTTGCAGTCAGGATGTTCCCAGCTGCTCTTGGCCTCTGCTGTACAAAGTGGTCCTTTCCCCCTCCTCTCCAGTTACTGAATGCTCTCCTCCATTACCATGTTATTTTGTGCTATTGGACTGACATGATGCTTGGTTTCTGCAAGAAGCCTGGATGATGCTTTCTGGAGCACAAGTCAGATCTTTTATCTCCTTGTGTTTACCCATCTCACTGCCCTGCTAGAGCTCTGCATTCAGTCCTTCTGTGACAGGATACTACAAAGAGGGAAATAGAACTGTTGGGGGAGGAAGACTAAGTCTTTGAACTGAGGGTCAGTTCCTAAAGAGAGCCTCATTCTGACTTCTGTATGTTGGTAATTACCATTATAAAGTTTCCACGGCCAACCACTACCTTCTTATCATTACCATCCAAGACCATCCAAGACCAAGTGGCTGTGGTTTCCGACATCCCGATATAGTCAGTTGGTGCCATCACTGACTATTGGGGGCGAGTCGTTGGCCCCCATGGAGTGGGTTCGCAACTTGGGTGTCCTCCTGGACTCACAGCTGTCTTTAGAAGGGCATTTGACGGTTGTGGCCGAGAGGGCATTTTATCAGGTTCGCCTGATTAGCCAGTTGCGTCCCTTTCTGGATCAGGACTCGTTAAATACGGTTACTCATGCCCTCGTCACTTCCCACCTGGACTACTGCAATGCTCTCTACATGGGGCTCCCCTTGAGGAGCACCCGCAGGCTCCAGCTGGTCCAGAATGCGGCTGCGCGGGTGGTTATGGGAGTGATGTGGCACTCCCATGTGACCCTCCGTCCTGCGCGAGCTGCACTGGCTCCTGGTGGTCTTCCGGGTGCGCTTCAAGGTTTTGGTTACCACCTTTAGAGCGCTCCATGGCCTAGGACCGGGGTATCTACGAGACCGCCTTCTGCCACCAGTAGCCTCTCACTAACCAGTATGCTCCCATAGAGAGGGGCTTCTTAGGGTGCCGTCGATCAAACAGTGTCGACTGGCGGCCCCCAGGGGAAGAACCTTCTCTGTGGGAGCACCTGCCATCTGGAACAAGCTCCGCCCGGAGATACGGAGGATTACAGACCTGCGCGCTTTCCACCGTGCCCTCAAAACATTCCTATTCCAGCAGGCCGGCCTGGCCTAACCCCCTTTTTTAAACTGTTTTTAAATTTTTTTAATTTTAAATTTGTCTTATAAATTTGGGGTGTTTTAAATTTTGTTTTCTGGGCCAAATTATTTAATTATATTTTAATTGGTTTTTTAACATTTGTATTATATGTATTTTATCTTTTGGCTGTTCACCGCCCTGAATCCTTCGGGAGTAGGGTGGTATACAAATTTAATTTTATTATTATTATTATTATTATTATTATTATTATTATTATTATTATTACTGTTTGTATTAACTTTGGGTTGGGGGAAAGGTGCCTCCTTCATTGCAGTGCCTTCTCTTCACTTTCCTCTTTCAATACCCAAACAAGATTGCTAGGAAGGTGCCATGAAGACCACTCTCCACTGCTGCCCCCATTGCATACAACAGAAAAAATGGTGGACCCTGATTTTCATACAAATCTATCCGTCTCCCAGAATAATGCTAGACCCATATTTAGAATTAGCTCAGGGGACAGCCTGCTGTCACAGAGCACCTCTGCATAGGCAGCCTGTTAACCTGGGCAACTTGAAGAGTAATTCAGAGTATTTATTTTGTTTCCAATATGATTGATAAACTATCAGAATACGAATAATGCCTTCTGGTGAAGAGTACCAGACCTCTGATTTCCCAGGCTGTTATCAACCCTTCACAAGGCTAAAGAGAGTGATTGGAAGTCATTTTTCCCACACGGTGGATGGGAATAGGAACACTGCTGATTGGAAGGGAAAGGTGTCACCAATCACTACAATTAACTTGTTCTCCATTGTTAAACCCGTGGGAGCACCATTCACCAATGTCATTTCTGAAGTGATAGGAAGATCAGGTGCTGGGACAGAGCAAATATTGCTGATAAGATAGAATAGAATAGAATAGAATAGAATAGAAGAGAAGAGAAGAGAAGAGAAGAGAAGAGAAGAGAAGAGAACAGAACAGAACAGAACAGAACAGAACAGAACAGAACAGAACAGAACAGAACAGAACAGAACAGAATAACAGAGTTGGAAGGGACCTTGGAGTTCTTCTAGTTCCTACTTGGGCAGGAAACCCTATCCCACTTCAGACAAATGGTTATCCAATCTCTTCTTAAAAATTTCCTGTGTTGGAGCATTTACAACTTCTGGGAGCATTTACAACTTCTGTAATGATGTACTATTGATGCACCAAATGGGCTAGAGGATAACCCTGGCTGTCTAGATGAGCCCTTAAACTGAATATAAATGGAAACTTGCAATGTATTATTTTGGCCAGAGAACCAATTGCTAGAAATGGCAATCATAGGGACCTTTTTCACATATAACTTTTCCCAATGGCCTTCCAAGCTGATCAAACCAGCTCTGTTATTGTCAGCATGCTTTTACTATAGCAACCAAAATATAAATGTTGGAGCATTAAGATGTGGGGTCAATCATTTCTTAATGATTAAGAGTAAAGCGTATAAAATATGTAATATAAGCTTTTCTACTCTCACAAAGTCAGATTTCCTGGTCATTAATTAAAACTACATACAGTGAGGGTTGATAAAAAAAGAAACACCTTTTGCATAATGCCTAGTTAAATTATGGCATTTGCTTCCCTCAGCTATGGAAATGGCTACCAATTTAGAAAGTTTTAAGGGAGAACCAGACAAATTCATAGCGGTAGCACTGTCCATCAGTCTTGATGGCTGTATACCCTCTGCAGATACCGTATGTTGCATCTTAAGTTGAAACGCTAGGGAGCAATAATGGAAAAGCATTATCATTTACTAGTCCATGAATGAGATCTTTGTGAATGGATTGAACTGGCTTGAATTAGAGGACCCATTGACTGATAGACTGAGATCCTACATTGGTCTGAGACAGTGGTGGGTTGCCCCCGGTTCAGACCGGTTTGCAAGAACCGGTAGTAAAACCAGTGGGAAGCTCCGCCCACTGACCTGGATGTCATCATAGGTGATCTGTGCATGCAGTAAAGGTAAGTAGAACCCACCCCTGGTCTGAGAGGAAGGGAGGGAATGGCTTTAATAAAATTTTAAGGACTGACTGTTCTCTCCACTTTCCCCAGAAAGCACCTTGCCTTAAAACACCCCCAGGTTCATTTGCAAGTCTTGCTTTATCACTGTTAATTTGTAATTACAGGTGTGCCAGAGGCCTTTCACCTATAGATAAAACCATGCAATTTCTCATGCAAACTATGATTACAATACTGTATCGCTTTCATTCTCCAAACACATTCAGTGTGTACCTAGTCTATGCACTGATATTTTATAACTAGCTATACCAAAAAAAAGGGGGGAGGGGCATGGAAGATAGGATAGGAAATACAATGTTACACATTGGCAGAAAGCTGAATCAGTTTCATTTCACTAAATGTCAAACATGATAGGCAATTTATATAATAAAAGCTGATTTAGTAAAGTAAAGGTGATAAAGTAAAGGTGAATAAATGATGGAGAGAAGAATATGACAAATGTGTTAAATATTGTAAATGAAAAATTAGAAATACAGGGACGATAAAGAACATGATAAAGGATGGGAAAACGGGAATGTATAAAGTAGAAAGTAAGAGGAACGAAACTGATATGTAAAAAGAAACACATATTATGTGTTCGTGTTTTGTATGTTGTGTTGTGTTGTTGTAAAATCAATAAAAAACTTATATTAAAAAGCTGATTCATAATTGACTAATAATCGTATTTGAACAGGGAGTGAATTTTCCCGAGTTTGGGCATAAAGTTTAGTTTCTCTGTACGCAGCCTGGTCTCAAATGCCAGCTCCTCAGTATTATTCACATAAAATAAAATGAATCTACATTCAAATGTTGGTCATTTCAAGTGTGTTGTACATCAAAGAACATCATATTCATATTATCTTTTCCAGGGAATTCAAATGGTTTGAAATAATGAGCATCTACTCCATACTACCACTGATGATGCCACCTACTTTGGTAATGAACAGTGTGCAAGACAACAACTAAGCTTATAGAGTACCAAGGACCACACAGTTCATCCCTGAGTTACGAGTATTCTCTTCTCTCAGCATCTACATTTAATACATACAAACCACATTTCTGCTTCTTATGGATGTTCCATGTAGCCACCTCCCTATTAGGATATAATGGATATGTAAACAGCCACCTACAATTCAAAAGCTGAGGCATTTAAATGAATGTTAAGGCGACACTTGGTGTCACAGTTCTCTCATACAGTTTTTATGAGTGATGTTTCCCTGCCTCCTTTTACAAGCAAGATGCCTATACATAATACAAATTCATTAAAAGTAGGATCTTATGCTACTGCTGTCCTCTTGTGGCTTAAAAGAAGAGTCTTTAAAGAAAAGAAAAACTATAGATTATTTTCAGACAACAAGCAAAATAAATCAAAATCAATTCACTCCTATAACCACTCCATTTTAACTGCAAAGTAGGCCTTTCCATGGCAAATAAAATAAAATCTTTCTTGTAAATTCCCTTGGGTTAATAAAAGAGGATACCTGCCTTATATTTAAACCATATCAATATGTTCTTTTGTGATTAATTGATCTTCCCTCAATATGTTCTTTTGTGATTAACTGATTTTGCCTTATAAATATCAGTGTATGGTGCCTGGAATTGCCTTGATATAAAATCCCATAGCAATTCAGCAAATGTGAAATCAGAATTTGTAAAAACAAATGGATCTTTTGTGAAGGTAAAAGCTCCAAGATTTCTTTTCTCTTGCAGTAGCTTTCTTTACATAACTTTCAGAACTGTGTAAATCTATGTAGAAGGGTAGAGTACATGACTTTCTTCGTAAACCTATTCTGCGTTAACTTTCAATTTTAAAAAATATCTACACAATCCTGGCTTAAGTCCCAGGTCTGGGGGTGATGTTTATGATTTGCTTAAGGACCCTGATTTGTTTTGTTGATTTTATTTTTATCAGATTATTTTAGTCTGGACTGTCTGTCTGAGTCTATGCTTTTAGCTGCCCAGAGTCCAGTGAGTGGCCAATAAATTTAAATAAACACTGAATAATATTTTATGCATTTTCTAATGTTCTTTGAAAATTTGAACCTTCTCTACATTTTAAACCCGTCAGCTTTCAGCTGTACATAAGAATTAGATTGGTGCAGAGCAACTCTTAGCAAAGAACATGACTTCTGAATTATGCATGTGAGTGGCATCACAAGGAATTAAAGCTAATGACAGAAAGATTAAGAAACAAATAGGACTTCATGAAATTACTAGCACCAGTTGGTGGTGTTCAACTGAAGATGAGGTAGGGCTGTTGAGAGTTGGCTGCTGTCCCTGCTTTCAGTATTAATTGTGGGGAAGGGGGAATTTATCATCTGACAGGAGTTTAGTAAAGCTTCAACTCTTAATATTTCTTGGATTGTTTAATGACACTGAATTCATTTTAGAGAATAATAGCCTTCCACTTTCCCATTTCAACAGACAATATTTCCCTAACTTTGGTGGTGGGGGTGGGTGCCTTCATGTCAGTTTTGATTCCTGGTGATTGCCTGGACAAGTTCTTGCAGTTTTCCTGGCAAGATTTAAGAAGTGGTTTGCCATTCCTACTTCCTAGAGTTGAGAGAAAGGGACCAGCCCAAGGACACCTAGCTGGTTTGGTGCCCAAGGCAGGACTAGAACTCACAATCACCCAGTTTCTAATCTAATGCCTTAATGCCAAACATTCCTAATAATATTTTTAGGCAAATGAAAAACAACTGAAGAGGAAAGAGGCTTTACTTTTTTCCTATGGCTGTTCTTCTACATCCCTGCACCACCACTGATCCCCCCAGCCCTTCCTATACACTCTGCTTTTCCACGTTAAGAAAATATACCTGTGATGGTGAACCTATGAACACACGTGCCAGAGGTGGCACGCAGCACCTCTCAGAGGGCACACAAGCCGTCGCCCCAGTTCAGCTCCACTGCGCATGCTCACCTGCCTCCCGCCAGCCAGCTAGTCTTCGGATCTCTGCCGTGCGTGTGCAGGGGGCGGGGTGTGTGCAGGGGGTATGCAGGGACGCATGAGGGGTGTGTGCGTGTATGCGTGGAGGGCGGGGGGCATGCAGGGGGCCAGACAGCCTTGCATTTTGGAGGTTTGGGGGCATGCGCATTTGCACGAGCGCATTTGTGCACACGTGCATGCTTTGGGCAGTCGGTCCGGAAAAGGTTAGCCATCAATGGAATATACCATGTAATCCTGTAGTTTAAAGCTAGAAGTCAGCACTTTCACCAGCAACACATGGCTACAGGAACAGATGTTGAATTCTTGCCCCTTTTTAGCAGCTGCTAGCAGAACCTCTGGCAGTCACCTACCCCCAGTATGCCTAAAAACAGTAGTGGATTAGTGGGCTTTTTTCATAGCTTAATATATACTGTACATTATAAAATTGTTGAAGGACAAATAATCATGTTGTTAGGGCTGATTCAAAAGCTGGTGGAAAATGAAATGAAAAGCCAATGTAGGAAAAAGCATCAAAATTTCAAAAGCATAATAGCCCAGACACTGAGATCTTCTTTTCTGGATGGTGTAGATTGGTTGGTCTTGACAGTTCCGGAGAAATTCTAATAACAAGAAGCTTTTCCAGAGTAGGAAGAGATTGTTCAGGGCAAACACATTTATTCCTCAAAGAAAAAAAGCCCTGAATTTAAGGCAGGTCTGCCTCCCTGGGGATAAGCGTGGGGTGGGGGGGGAGGGAGTGTTAAAAATTTAAGATGGCAAAAGTATACCCATTCAGTTTACACACACACACACACACATTTACACATGCAAAGTGACAACTCATCTGCAGATGAGCTGAATCAAGAACAGGGAAGGTTTTCCTTCTCACAAGAAGTAGAATCCTTCAGAATATATCAGACTTGCAGGACGGGAGATGGTCAGATCAAGGGCCAATGTGAGCAGGTTCATTCTTTACATTCTTGACAAGCCATCTTCCTCCTCATCTCCAAGTTAGATTAAACACCTGTCCAATCTTCATTAAAAAAAAATTAATTTTAAAAATCCACCTTTGTACTGTGTCTACCTTGACTGTTAGCGTTTAAGTACATATATTACGATGATTTGCTATGGGAGACAAAACAATTTATAAGAATTGTTCTAAAACAAAATTCTCTTAGAAATGGAGAATTATATTGGAAATAATGAAGTGGATCATCACACCTACGGAGTAATACAAAACTATCAACACATAAGCTGGGGGGGGGGGCCCAAATGAGAAGAGCAACAAAGATGATTAGGGGACTGGAGGCTAAAACATATAAAGAACGATTGATGGAACTGAGTATGTCTAGTCTGTTGAAAAGAAGGACTAGGGTTGACATGATAGCAGTGTTCCAATATTTCAGGGGCTGCCACAAAGAAGTGGGAGTCAAGCTATTCTCCAAAGCACCTAAAGGTAGGACAAGAAGCAATGGGTGGAAACTAATCAAGGAGAGAAGCAACTTAGAACTAAGGAGAAATTTCCTGACAGTTAGAACAATTAATCAGTGGAACATCTTGCCTCCAGAAGTTGTAAATGCTCCAACACTGCAAGTTTTTAAGAAGAGATTGGATAACCATTTGTCTGAAGTAAAGTGGTGTAGGGTTTCCTACCTAAGGAGGGGGTTGGACTAGAAAACCTCCAAGTTCCCTTCCAACTCTGTTATTCTATTCTATTCTATTCTATTCTATTCTATTCTATTCTATTCTATTCTATTCTATTCTATTCTATTCTACAATAAAGATTTTAAATAGCCTCTATGGGGCTATGGAGGGTATAATCAATAAAGTACACCCCAGGAGTGGGCAGAGCTTCTATTTTTTTCCCCCATATTTCATTTGGATTTATTTGACATCATCAATAATCATCTATCAAAGCAATGAATGCACCATATATCTATCTTTGCATCAGTACTCTCTATTCTATCTTATTGTCTTGTGCACATATAAAAATAATATCATGTTACATTTTCCAACATAAAACCTAAAAAGTCCTGTCATCTATTCTAGATTTTTCAACATTCCAAATATATCCGTACTGCCAGAATTGAGGGGATTCTGAACAAGAGGTTTTCTTCCAGATATACATAGATGCACGTAAAACTGGGTATTCCACATTACCCACCCATCCACCCCAACATCTTAAAGTTCCCAAGGCTGAGAAACATTGCTTGAAATTGCATTTGAGTATAGCAAGAAAAGGGATATCATTTTCTATTGTTATTTTCGTTGGTGTATTTAGTGCAATATTTCCTGCTTTCCTTTATTCCTAAAACCAGCATGGAACTTTCCTTCCTTTGTCCTGTGATTAAAGCCATTCTAAAAAGCAGTTATCAGTTTCCAGTTGCTGAAAGTTTTAGTTTCCACCTCTTCCTTCAGCCTTTCTGTGATCAAAAACAGTTACCTTCCTTATACTACAGCACCAACACATAGCTTTTGTAAGCTATATCACAAATGGGAAACGCATATGTTCAGTTTCCAGACACAAACAGTTGTCAGCCATTTTGAAAGTGAGAAAAAGATGCTCGTGCTATGAATGAACCTCCTGATTCTGAGCCTATGATGTAGTTGTAACATGACCAGGTTAATACAATGAACTCCAATATGATGCTGGGATTTTTAAATATTATTTTTTTTAATAGTTGGCTCTGTCCAGTCTCTAGCTCTGCTGGAATTGTGGCATTCCCTTTATCTACTCATCTCCGAAATTTGGCATTTGTGTGCTATTGACATTCAAGACTAAATCAGCTACCATATGTTTTTATTGATCATATTTGCTTGTATGACATCAGTGTACATAAAATACAGACAGCTTCTTGAACAATAACAAAAGAGACAGGTCTTTTGTCCCATGGGTTGTATACTATATTGTGGAAGAGAAAACAAATCCCTGCCCGTCTTAACTTTAAGACCTTAAGCAGATGACTTGCAAAAGGATTATTTATTTATAAATTTATATATTGCTTTGGTCCGCTGACTCTAAGCAGTATATAAAACATTCTTCTTCATTCTTCTTTAGGAACTTAGAACCCACCCCTCTCCTAGAAGAATGATATATTCTAGGAAATATTAAAAAGGCAGAATATTATACCTCCCTGGATGAGAAATGCTCTTGGAAAGCAGCCCCCACCTTTGTTAATAGCCCCAGAAAGACTGGTGCCAACCTATCTACAAGGCAAAAGACTGGGCCATCTTATCTACAAAAGACCTTCAGCTCCAGGGTGATAGGATTAGCCCTCAATCAAGATCCAAACCAGGACAAAGCCATTAAGTCATAATAGGAATTGCCCAAAGCCCCTTCATTACATCACCCAGCAAGATTCAATCAAGCCTGGGACTCAAGACAACCTACAAAGTTACCCCTGCATGGCCCCATGGGAGTCTGACAACCAATCAGAATACATTTCTTACACAGGAAGAGGAAGCTCCAAGGCGGGGCCCAAGGGAGGGTATAAATCTCTCCCTCTCTCTCTCATCCATGTGCTCAATTGCCCAAGACCTCAAACCATGTGGTCCTGTCCACCATTAAACAATTAAA